ATATCAATAGCCAGTCGCACAAGATACCAGTATAACATCAAAAGATATCAACAACCAGTCGCACTAGATACCAGTATAACATCAAAAGATATCAATAGCCAGTCGCACAAGATACCAGTATAACATAAAAAAGATATCAATTAGCCAGTCGCACTAGATACCAGTATAACATCAAAAGATATCAATAGCCAGTCGCACAAGATACCAGTATAACATCAAAAGATATCAATAGCCAGTCGCACTAGATACCAGTATAACATCAAAAGATATCAATAGCCAGTCGCACTAGGTACCAGTATAACATCAAAAGATATCAATAGCCAGTCGCACAAGTACCAGTATAACATCAAAAGATATCAGCAGTCTTATTCATTAAAGATGACTATCCCCTGGTCACAATCAGTCAACAATACGTTAATACCTAAAACAGATACATCTTACTGTGTATCACTGAACAAGTGTGTAGTTACTGACTCTTACTGTGACGTTTCCGTCGCTGGCAGAAGTTTCCTTCATGTTTCTAACACTGTAATAACTGCTGGCTAACTACATCTAAAAGTTAAACATAGTTGAAACAGATATTTTTGCAGTGGGTAATGTGGCGCAGGTTCCGTCGCAGTGTGAGCAGAAATAATAGAATTGATGTTTTATCACGCAGAAATTAAAAAAAAAAATCACAGTTTTCAATCAGACTTCCACTGTTGTCTCAGTAGAAAATTGTTTAGTGATGGTAAATCTTAAGGAAGAACTTGCATCCTTAGCCTTCCAGTAGGAGTGGCCGGATACATGACCGACGGACACATGACCGACGGATACATGACCGACGGACACATGACCGACGGACACATGACCGACGACACATGACCGACGGACACATGACCGACGGACACATGACCGACGGACACATGACCGACGGACACATGACCGACGGACACATAAGAAAAACCCACGGACACATGACCGACGGACACATGACCGACGGACACATGACCGACGGACACATGACCGACGGACACATGACCGACGGACACATGACCGACGGACACATGACCGACGGATACTTGGCCGACAGACACATGACCGACGGACACATGACCGGCGGACACATGACCGGCGGACACATGACCGACGGACACATGACCGACGGACACATGACCGACGGACACATGACCGACGGACACATGACCGACGGACACATGACCGACGGACACATGACCGACGGACACATGGGACTGGCCGGACAACAAAGACCGACGGATACATGGCCGGGCGGACACTGACGGCGGACCACATGACCGAAGGACAATTTGGACGGAACATGACCACTGCCCGACCGACAGGCCATGCGCCGGAAATGATCGAGGTTAATTATCAACCAGTTCGGCTACATGCCACATCGGGAACATGACCGACGGTATTGGCCGACGGGTGCCGACGACCAATGGCCGAAGCATCTATTGGCCCCAAACACATTGCACCAGCCTTTGAATGGTAGTTAGGAAAGTTCCACTGTACTCTAAAGGTCTAATGTGGGACAGGGGCTCGACAAATGTGAACGTGGGAACCCCAATGTGACTGGGAAAATCACGAAAATAAAGTCTACTGAGGGAAGTACTGAATGTGGCGTGGAAAGTCACTGTAATACTAAAGTCTACTGAGGGAAGTACTGAATGTGACGTGGAAAGTTACTGTAAGACTAAAGTCTACTGAGGGAAGTACTGAATGTGACGTGGAAAGTCACTGTAAGACTAAAGTCTACTGAGGGAAGTACTGAATGTGGCGTGGAAAGTCACTGTAAGACTAAAGTCTACTGAGGGAAGTACTGAATGTGGCGTGGAAAGTCACTGTAAGACTAAAGTCTACTGATGGAAGTACTGAATGTGACGTGGAAAGTCACTGTAAGACTAAAGTCTACTGAGGAAGTACTGAAATGTGGCGTGGAAAGTCACTGTAAGACTAAAGTCTGCTGAAGGAAGTAGTGAATGTGGCGTGGAAAGTCACTGTAAGACTAAAGTCTGCTGAAGGAAGTAGTGAATGTGACGTGGAAAGTCACTGAGGGAAAGTCTCAGTAGAGGCGTTCACTTAGATAATCTGCTAGTGTTTGTAACTGGAAGTCACTGGGTACTACACCCCTTGTATCTTGTTTGTTACGTTCCTACACGGAACTTGTGTTGCTGCAACTACTCCTATGGATCAGTGGCATACTAGCACATAGCACATTCCTGTGGATCAGTGGCATACTAGCACATAGCACATTCCTGTGGATCAGTGGCATACTAGCACATAGCACATTCCTGTGGATCAGTGGCATACTAGCACATAGCACATTCCTGTGGATCAGTGGCATACTAGCACATAGCACATTCCTGTGGATCAGTGGCATACTAGCACATAGCACATTCCTGTGGATCAGTGGCATACTAACACATAGCACATTCCTGTGGATCAGTGGCATACTAACACATAGCACATTCCTGTGGATCAGTGGCATACTAGCACATAGAACATTCCTATGGATCAGTGGCATACTAGCACATAGAACATTCCTATGGATCAGTGGCATACTAACACATAGCACTTACTTGGATCAAATGGCATAAGAATAGCACATTCCTGTGGATCAGTGGCATACTAGCACATAGCACATCTGTGGACAGTGCTACTAGCAATAGCACTTCCTATGGATCAGTGGCATACTAGCACATAGCACATTTCCCGTGGGTCGTGGGATACTACCAAGCACTTCCGTGGATCAGTGGATACTAGAAATGCACATTCCCGTGGATCAGTGGGATACTACACATAGCCATTCCTGTGGATCAGTGGCATACAGCACATAGCACATTTTTGTGGATCGGGCATACAACACTAGCCATTCCTTGGATCAGTGGGATTTCTAACACATAGCCCTTCCTGTGGGTCAGTGGCAAAAAACCATAGCACTTCCTGTGGATCAGTGGCATATAGCACATAGCCTTCCTGTGATCAGGGTACTAACACATGCCATTCCTTTGGGTCGTGGGTACTAACACATAGACATTCCCGTGGATCAGGGCATATAGACAAGCACATTCCCGGGATCAGTGGATACTAGCAATAGCAATTTTTGTGGATCAGTGGAACTAACACATAGCACATTCCTGTGGTCAGTGGCATACTAACCCTAGACATTCCTGTGGATCAGTCATATAACAATAGACATTTGGGACAGTGGCTACTAAACATAGCCATTCCTGTGGACCCTTTTTTGGAAAATTTAACCTACACTTTCCTTTTGGTCAGTGGTATTTTCAAATACCCTATGGACCCTTAAAGGGGCAAAGAAATTTTTTGGTCAGTTTTATAGAACATGAATTTTGTATCAAGGGGCCCTCCACATAAAACTTTAACATCAATGTTGCCAAACCCTAATAGGGCCCCACCCCACAAACATTGGGGTTTTGGGGAAAACCAAGAAGCCTTAATAGGGCCCAGGGCCCCCCCCAACACTGATTTCCGGGGAAGTTAATACTAACACCATAAAACATTCGTGATAGGGGCCCACTCACCCCATTCCTTAATAAGGAAACAGTTCAAGGGAAAGTTAAACAAAACCGGACCACTCCCGGGTTTTAAAAGGCAAAAAATTTGTCGTAAAAAAGGGGTTTTGGGGATTATTTTGGTAATATTGAGGAAAGGGTTAATGCGTAAGATTAAAAAGAGGGAAAATCTAATCCCCGTCCCCCTTCCCCACTAAATTTTACCAGTTTTTTCTTCCGTCCCATCCCCTAATTCCAAACCCTTGCGTCCCCTCCCTTTTTCCCCCATTTCCCCTTCAAAATTTTTCGGCTTCCCTCCCCAAAAAATTCCTCTTTTTCTCTTTTTCTTTTTTGATTTATTAAGGAATTTTCAAAATTAAAATTTTCGCCCCACTCTTTTTTCCCTATCTCATTTTCCCCCCACCCTTCCTTCCCTTCCTTTTTCCCTTTCCTCTCTCTCTCCCTTTTTCCCCCCCCTTTTCTTTTTTCTCTCCTTCCCCCTTTTCTTCTCCTTTTTTCATCTTTCCTCTTTTTTTCCCTTTTTCCTTCCCCTCCTTTTTTCTCTCTTATTTTCTCCCTTTTCTTTTCCTCTCTTTTTCTCTTCCTTCTCTTCTCTCTCCCCTTCTCCCCTCCCCCCTCTTCTCTCTCTTCTCTCTCTTTCTCTCACTCCTCACCCACTTTTAGCCATTGCCAATTCCACATCCTCCCAGACTCCCAAAGCCCTTACAATCCCTGCCCAACCCGGGGGTTTTTGTCTCTCTGGGTTTTTTTGGTTACAAAACACAAACACACACCCCACACACAAAAAGACACACAACACCCCACCAAACACACCCCCCACACAAAAACACAAAACCCCACCCCAGGATAAAGGCTTCATTAATTCACGACAGCGGGCTGACACACCCCAAAACCCTCATCACACCCCGGCAAAATACTACCCGGGAATTATGTTTGAAAATAAAAAGGAAGGGCCTCCATAAAGCTGCTCAAACACTCGTCCAAAAAATTTTTGGTTCAAAAAGCATTTGGGTTGATAAATGCTATATAAAAAACACTCAGATATCCCCACGGAAAACAAAAAAATACTAAAAGGTCACACCCACGGGAACCCCACAAACACTCGTCCATCACCACTGGAAAAAACAAACACTAAACATCACCAGGGAAAACCACAAACACTCAGCCCCCATAAAAAAATCCCCCCTGGAACAAAAACACTCAGCATCACCACGGGAAAAAATCACCAAAAACCCCCTTCAGTCACCCACCAGTGGAAACCCCAAACACTCGAACATCACCACGGGAAAACACAAACACCCCAGACATCCCCCCACTGGACACTCAGAAATCCCCAAAGGGAAAACCCATCAGACATCCCCAATGGAGCCCCTAAGACATCACCACGGGAAATAGAAGTGTATAGGACTTCTCCTTAAATAGAGGTTTAAACTGGGGTCAGTTTCTGGGAAATTTCCTATCGAAACCTCCCTTTTTCCCTTCCTCTCTCTTTTCATCTCTCTCTCTCTCTTTCTCTCTCTTTTTTCTTCCCCCTTCCCCCCCAGTTCCCCCTCCCGGGGAACGTTTAATTTTGAATTTCGAAGATTGTCATAGTCGTTTTAAAAAAAGTACTTTCTGGCTATCTAAAAATTTTAGTGCTTTTTTCTTCTTTTTTGAGAAGGTTAAAACCCCCTTCTTCCCCCTTGTATTTTGGGGTTTAAACCCCTTCTCCCCCCTTTTTATTGAGGTTAACCCCTTCTTCCTTTGTATTGAGGTTAAAACCCCTTTTTTCCCCTTTTTTTGAGGTTTTAAAAATTTTTCTTCCTCTTGTATTGAGGTTTAAACCTTTTTTCCCTTTGTATTTTAGGTTTAAACCCCTTTTTTCCTCTTGTATTGAATTAACCTTTTTTTCCTTTGTATTTGGAGGTTAAAATCTTTTCCAAAATTTAAGAAATTAATCCTTCCCCTTTTAAGAGGGTTAAACCTTTTCTTCCCCCTTTTTTGCTTAATTTTGGATGAGGAAAACTTTTTTAAATTTATTCTAAAAATTTTCCTCTTTATGGGGGGGTTTTAAAAAAGAAATGTAGGGCCCCCTTTTTAAAGGTTTACCTTTTGGGCCCCCTTTTTGGGTTTAAAATTTTGGAGAAATGCCCAACCAAAATTTTTTCTAAAATTTTTTTGAAAGTTAAAAATTTGGGTTTCAGGGGGAAATTTGGTTTTGGGGATTGGGAAATGCCCCAATTTTTTTAAAAAAGGGGATTGGGGGGGAAGGGGTTTTTTTGGGGGTTTTTAATTCCCCTATTTTGGGGAAAAAATTTTAAATAAGAGAAAAAAAGAAAGAGTTGAAAGGGGTTTGGGGGCCACCTTTAAAACTACTGTTTCAAGGCTGAGGGACTAATCACAACATCTGTACCTCTACAGTGCTGCTGTCTTCATTTTTATTTAAAATCTGTTTCCCACGAAAAAAGCCTGCTGTGTAGGCGAAACTTTTCCCGGGAAAAAAAGATACCCAAGTGTTGGACATGGTTTATTCCCGACTCCCTGAAACGTAATGACACATTTGGGAATAAACCAAAACCCGGGCGGGATTTGAACCCGCGGGCAGAGACTCTCAAAAAATTCCCGGGCCGTCGCTTAGCCACTGGACCAGCGGGGCCCCAATAAGATTGCCAAAGGTGCCCGAAAAAATACCTAGTTGGGGCGAAAACTTAAATTTTGGTTTTGTGGGCCCCGTGGCTAACGCGACGGTCCCGGAGTTTTTAGACTCTCTGGGCCCCGGGTTCAAATCCCCCCCGTGGTATGGTTTG